GGCTGGGACAGCCGGTATAGGTACCCCTCCAGCTGGGTCTCAGTCAGTCGTCTGGATTTGTTCCTGATGCCCAAATTCTTGCCACAAAATAGACTTCGAACCAACTATATGCACATGACAGATATAAGTTGCAGAGAATCAACTGTCACCACTTCTGAAATGTCACCATTAGACTCAAATTCAAAGGACAGGAAGTTACCCAGAGCTCATCTTTAGTGTTTCCAGTTACAAGTAATAGCATTGTCAAAACAGAAATGACCATAAACTGTTAACCACAGAGTTAATGGTTAAAGGTGCTCACGCTACCTTAAAATCTTCAAGAGACAAAACTATTTCAGGCAGCATTGGTAACTGGAAGAAACATGCATGTCCTGAGCGCAACAGCTGAGAGGGTCTTCTCAGAACGGCGTCTGGGTTTTACAGAAATGAGTATCAGTTGTCTGCACCCACATACGTTTCCGTTCAGAATCAGAGTTGTGTTGAAAACAGAAATGAAATGATGCCCTGTCTGGAAATTGTCAGTGTACACTTACCCAACCATGAGGCGGGATGAGGAGCGTTCATGACAATGAGACGTTGCACCATGTCTGGCCTTTCCAGTGCAAAATGCCATGCCAGCATCCCACCCCAGTCGTGCCCCACCAATATACAACTTGTGTGACCTGTAATTAAACACATGACATTCCAGTGGTTTATTGACTAAGGCAAAACTGGTTCACATTCAGCCGTGGCCCGTCTGTATGGGCAGTGTCCCACCTGAAAGGAAAGTAATTGCAAAAGCATAAACAATAAAAGATAATAATAATAATAAAGCAAACCAAAAATAGCCTGTAAATAGCTTGTTTGTTTCTGTGTAGTAAATAACCCAGCACTCGACATAGCTTTGTTTTACCTTCCTGAATTTTTCCACAACTCGTAAAATTCGAAAATCAATATTCACTCACAATAAATACTACATTAAAAGGATAGTCCAGCCAAAAATGAAAATTCTCATCATTCATCAGTATGAGTTTCTTTCTTCTGTTAAGCACAGACAAAAACATTTAGAAGAAAAATACTACTTTCCTATTACTTGTTTCACTTCTGTTTCAGTTTTTTT